ACACACACACACACACACACACACACACACACACACACACACACACACACACACACACACACACACACACACACACACACACACACACACACTACCCTACACTTATGGTCAGAAATACTATTGCTCACCTTTAGCTTTTGGTGGTAGGCAATAATAAAAAAAGACTAATAACAAAACACAAATGGAAATTATTTTTTCTTTCTGTTTAATTGGCATAGTTCACTTTACTCGTATTGCCTTATTGTTTTTCCACTTTGTGGTGACTGTCTGTGAAAGGCATCATATGGATAAGTTTGACTTATTTTACTGCTTTGGATAATAAAACACTATCAGAGGGTTGAGATTCACAGCTCCAGACTTTCTGTGAAACACGCAGGAAGTGATTCTGGTTGGAGTGACAGACTAGACACTTTTAATGATTAAGCCCTGTGGTTGAGTCAGCTCAGAGGCTGGAAACCCTCCCCGACCTGCATCTTTTGTTTGTGCCACAGTCAATTTCCTGTTAAGGTGGACTGTTTTTCTGTTTGGAAAAAGGCGGGGATCGTACCCATGCTCCTTACCCCCCACAAAGAAGATTAACCTCTGAAAACAGAAACCTTTTCCAAAGGTTTTGTGCTGTTTGTCTCGTTTTGTCTGTCTGCATGGCCTCGATGTTGACGCCGATGTCTCTGACATTGTTTTTGAAGGGAAAAGGAAAGGAAAGAGAAGCCATGCAGCTAAATGGACATCGGTTTGCATCAGGATCCTGTTTAGGCTCCACGCTGTGTGTGGTGTGTGACAAACCAGCTTCTGGAAAGGACCTTCTGCACTGCTCCGGTCTGTGAAAGTTCACTTCACACAAACAGTTTGTCTAACAGATTCTTTAAAGATGTCTTTGTTTTTCAGGCTGCACTACAATTGTCCATAAGTGCTGTAAGGAATCCGTCCCTCCGTGCTTGAAGGTGAGTGTTTTCCTGAAATAAACGATTCTCCTCATCGCAGCTGGAGCCCGTGTGTCTGTCAGTTGTTTATGAGCTTTAACCTGAATCTCCTTTGGATTACTTAGAAACTTCAGGATAAATATGCCGTGACCATGGTGAAAAACAAGACCGCATCCCTCCCACAGAGTGAGTTTCAGGTCAACTATCACTAGATTTTTACCACTTTACACCAGAGGCGTTTTCAAAGGCGTTTTCAAATGAGGAGCCAGATGGGAGCCTTTAAAACCAAAGAACATAACAGAATTCCAGGTATTATTTATGCAGTCTTACATATAAACTGCACTATAAAAAATACTGCAGTATGAAATTTAAGGACTCACCTACTGGTGAACATCACCTGATGTTTATTTTTATTCTCCGTACATATTACAGATGAACTTATTGAAGTCTGCCCTCATCTCTCATTAAATATATATA